GGAAGTTCTCTGGCTCCAATGTGCACATACTGTCCCCCTTGCTCTATTGCTTAGATTATCTACTTCTCCTTAGCAACAAAGCCATGGTCAAACCCACAGAGAAGCAGAGGCTGTGGGAGTTTGGAAGGGCCTGCTTACCACCGAGACCAGCCTCACCTTAAAGTGAGTGTGAGGAAGAGTCCTGTCTGGAACCTTAGCGTCCTCATGCTGAGCCCAGCTTCTAGCCTCCAGGACGGTGGTGAATGTGGAGCACCCCAGCCCTGTCTCTGACTTAGGACCTGGAGACACAGCAGTCCTCCCAACTTTGCACGGCTGAGAAAACAGACCCTAAACCTCTGTCTTGCTGGGTCACCCTCAGCAATTAATTGCTTCTCCTATGGAAGCCTCAACTTCCTTGCCTATAAAGTGAGGTTAATCATGCCCATCTTTATAGGGTTTTCACAACATTAGAAATAATCTGTGCAAAAACATCTGGCACAGAGTAGGCACTCGTAAGTTATGGAAGTCTTTTTTTTTTTACTCATTTTAAAAATACAGTGATGATAACACTCTGGGAATATATATTCTTCTGAAGCTAGTGACACAGGCGAGACAGGTTTGCATATATTTTTGAGCCCCAAGGAAAAGCACTTTAGGTCTTCTGCGCCACATTAATGTCAGTTCCACCTTAAAACTACCCCCCCCCTCCAACACTTGGGAAGATGGTATTTAATCGATCATAACATTCTCAGACTCTCAGGCAGGTTCTTCCCTCCTCTTGCTCATCACTGCTGATTACTCAAGATACTTTTATGTAAACAGAAGATGGCTCCTGCATAATTAAGACCCATCCACCCTCTTACATCCCCCCTTGTCTCTGCGTCTAGCTTCCCGGAGCTGCCCAGCCACCTCTGAGGCTAATGTGTCTGCTGAGCTCCAAGTGTCCCAAGGGACCCTGACTGGAGAGGTTGTCATCTGGAGCCATGTAGGCTGCTGAGAAAGAGGCAAAACTCTGCGTCTTTTGTTTCTCCCCTTTGGTTCCCTCCAGCGCCGCCACCGTCCCATCAACCCTGGGGCCCACCTGCTCCCTGTTGCACCCATCGAGAGAGACTTTATTTTCAACCATAGCTGTGACCCACCCCTGACTTTTCTGTTAGGGAACTCCAGAGGAGAAAGGGTCAATCCTAAAATAAGTGGTGGCTTCCCAGGCATATGCCGTGTTGGCATTCCCTGCTTCCCGCTTGGTCTTGCTGGCCTGCGCCTGACAGAAGGCACCACAGACGTTGTGATATCATTAAGGGTGGGGTGGGTACTGGGTTGTCGCCTCCATCTCCAATGCATGGCACAGTTCTGGGAATTAACAGGTGCTCTGCTGGGGGACTTCAGGGAGTTCGGTTGAGAAGGTGCAGGAGACGTGAGAACTCGGTGCCCAGAGGTAAGCAAGATTGGACTGTTCAAAGGTTTGGACTTCATCTGAAAGGCCCTGGAGAGTTTTAAGGGAAGGGGTGAAAAAAACCAAATTTGTATTTTAGGAAAATCACTCTTGCTGCCAGGTAGAGAATAACTGAATGGAGATCTGAAGACCAGGAGGTTGTAACAATAATCCCAGAGACCACGCCAGGACTAGGGTGGCTGTCCAGGTAAAAGCCTCCTCCAAGCTTCTGCATCCCTCTGTGCTTACCCCAGGCAGATGCTGCTGGGCGATGCTGGTCTCCACCTGTACCCACAAGATTGTCCAGTCAGTTTCTGTATGTTTTGACAACTTCCTGTGTCTCTCAATCTGAGGGTGACCTCTGGCCACAGCAGTATGCTCAGTACCCCTCAGAGGGGGCAGGAGGAGCCGAGAAGTGACATCTCAGAAGGGACCCTCAACCAGTGAGGAGCAGGAATAGGTGGACAAATACCCCAGCTTCCTTGCTCAATGGGACAATTTTGAAGCATGTTCTATACTGTCTCCTAGAAGTCTCCAGTGGGACTGAGCACCCGCAGCCCCTGTAGTAACAGCTCGTGGCTGCACTCCATACTGCTGTCTTCCCCTTCTCATTTCCCAACTCCCTCCCTGTGCTCCCTGGGATCACTCCCTCATCAACTCCTTGTATACCAGTTCTTGTCTCAGAGTCTATTTTTAGAGGAATCCAAAATAAGACAATGGCGTTTTATTATAATTTCCTGTTAAAATGAATGGATAAGTATAAATACACATTCATTCATTTCATTCATTTATTCATGCTATACCTATATTTTAACATCAAGAGTAGATAGTTCTCTGGGGCCCTGAGTCCTGTTAAAACTCAGGTGCAACATTTAGTCATCAACACTAATGCTACGAGCAGACCCCAAATGCCAGGATGAAGAATGGACACTCTCCTGGTTTGAAATTTCAAAAGTCAAGAAACAAAGGGTTCTGGGAAAATTAAATACCCATTCTAGCAGGCCCCATCCATCTGCCCTGATCAGTGACATTGGGGCAGGACAGAGAGGTGGGCAGAAGCAAGGACCCACTGGAGGTGTCACCATTTCTGCTTCATTTGCCTGGTAGAGTGCAGAGGAATTATCTACAGGGAGTGAATTTTATGGTTAATGGGTAGTTGATATCATTTCCTTTTTTTTCTTAAGAAAATATCCTGTTTAAAAAAAAAGTGACTTCCAATTACCCCAACTTCAGTGGCAAAGAAATAATCTCTATTTCAAGTTCACTGGGAAAATTTGGAGGGCTAGGATAGGAACATGTCAGCCATCAGAGTAACACTATGGTTCTCGACCAGGGATGACTTTGCACCCAGGGGACATGTGGCAATGTCTGGAGACCTTTTTGGTGTCACAGAGGGGGCTGCTACTGGCACCCAGTGGTCAGAAGCCAGGGACATGCTATAACGCACAGGCGAGTCCCTACAACCGAGGATTAACCAGTGCCAAATGTCAAGAGTGAGAGACCCTGCTTTAGCAGAATCTCAGCTTCTATTTTTCCCTCCAGGCTTGGGTTTGGGAGTCAAATCATGGGGCATTTCTGGGGATTCCAGCATGGGGCAGTAGAGAATGGCAGAAATACTCTGTGTCTGCCTGTGCAGGTTGCTTCGGGGTTGAGATGGTGAAGATGCTCTGGAACGGACACGGAACCATCAGTGCTGCTAAGGGCTTTGTTTCAAGTTAGTCTCAACAGTGGGAGATTTGACCAGCCACTACAGCTTATCACAAAAGGAAATTTGATATCCTCACCATAAATGAAAAGCCAGGGTCTCTTACCATAATTAGAAGGGAATCACAAGATGGATCCAATGAAAGTAATCAAGTATTATTGAATACTGGGGAGCTGAGCGGGCTGGGGATCAGGCAACCTTGGGAGAGTCCCCTTGCCTATCTGGGTTTCCGTTTGTTCAACTAAAAATGGGATTTGGCCAGAATAGTGTTTCTCAAGTCATGATGAAGGTAAAGAAATCTTGTGCAAAGGAGATCATTTGTGGTTATACAGAGAGGCAGCATTAAATAACGATGAATTACTTGGTGTGAAATTGATCCTTTTTTTCAATTTCCATTTAATCCCTCTAAACACAACAGGGGGAGAAGTCTCAGCTTTGGTGCTAACATGTCTTCAATACCTTTTAAACCCTGACTCATTTCCCCTACATAAAAGAGGAGTCCATAGAACCATGTTATAATACTCAGAATTTAGTAATATTCTATAATTCATTGTATTTATTTTCTTCTATACATGTAAGTCTTCCACTTATAGTGGTATTAAGAAAGTTTCCTCTTCAAGTACATTTATTTAAGTTCTGTAGGTGAATCAATTTACAAATATTAGAAATGAATGGATGGTCTGCAAAAATGGTAAAAATTGTGAAATGTGCAGATACTGTAATACCAGGAAATCAGACAGTCCTTCTGGGGATAACCCTGAAATCGCTCCATTTTTTAATCACAGTTAATAATTTGCAAATAATTGCAAGCATCTGTGCTTTAAATATTATCTTCAAATTACATAGGACTCTTGAAGGGAGCCAGATGCTATCTATGAATGCTTCCTTAGCCAACCATTCTTCACTGGAGTCATTTCACAACCTCTTTTGTGAGAAGTACTCTGTGTAGACCTAACACGGTGCTTGGTACAGTAAATGCTTAATAGGTACCCATTGGGAAAATGCATGCAACCAAGAAATCTAAAAGGAAGCTTCCAGTTACTAGGGACAGAAAATCCACCTCAAACTGGCTTAACAAAAAAGAAAAGTGTTCAGAGTAAGGTGAACTGTGGCACATTTTGGTCCAGAGGTTCATGATGTGATCTGGGCTATGATTTCATTTCTCTACAGCCTTCTCAGATCCACCATCCTTTCTGTCCTTGTCCTCAAGGGGGCTTGCCTGATGGCAGCAAAATTAGCTGCTGAAGAACCAGGGCTCACACCCACACTCCACAAATCCAGGAGAAGAGATTATTTCCCCCACAACATTCCAAGGAAATGTCTTGAGATTGACTCCAATTGGCCAGTCAGACCAGTCTGTGCCAACTCTGGAATCAACCACTAAGGTCAGACAGATGAAATCCACTGATGGGTGTTAGGGTCCAGGAATCCGGGGATTTCCCGAGAGAACAAAGCACACAGGCACGGAGATGTAAGTACAAGCAAAGTCTTTAATCAGCCAGCAAGCTGGGGCCGACAGCACTTCCCCTGACACGCAGGCCGAGTCCGAGCTGCCGACGCCCAGGCAACTTTAGGTATTGCTTATATAGGATTTTCACAGCCGTTACACCGAAACCTGCGCATTTCGACAACCAATAATTTTAAAACACACTCTATATTGTAACCAATGGGAAGCATTGTAACCTTTTAGGGACCGCATTAGTTGCCTAACCGCTTCAGTAGTTATCTCTTGCATTCAAGCATGTCTACGTGACTCATCATGGGTTACGCCCCCAGGCTGTTGCCCACTTCTAGTTATATGGCTTAAAGCAGGCGAATTTCTAAGCTTAGCCTCCGGTAGTTTATACAAAACTGGGTGGCCCTTGCTCTAGGCAGTTAGGTTAAATGTTATTAGTCCTTTTTCCTGACTCTGATGCTCTCTGCCCTCCTTTACAATGGGCCTCCTCCTAGGTCACGTGTCACATGCCTGTAGCCAGGGGTGTTGTCATCTTCCCCAGAGCAGCATGGGTCCCCAGAAGGGAATTAGGAGCTGCTGGGAAGGAGTGAGGGGAGGGAATAGATGTAGAACAGCATGGACATGATGGATGCCTGCTCCATCCACAAGTGGAAGAAAATGTTAATAGAGGCTATGCTGGTTCATGAACTGTTTGTTATGTCACAATGAGAAAAGCACAGAAATCAAGGGTAAGCATTTAAAAACTTACAGAGCAATTTAACATATCTACAACATCCAAGTGTGTGATAAGTAGAAATTATCTTGCTGAACAGACTATAGACCACAAGTATTGGTTTATGAAGGATTGGGAAAGAGAGTTAGTCTTTCATAATGGGTAATTTGAGAGGCACTGGTTTAGAAACTGTGCCTTGCACATTGACTGCTGTTAGCAGGTTGTAAAGTTCAAGCTGAAATCCCTAAGATTCATGCAATACTACTGTGCAGGATACGGGAAAACTGGGTATGAGTCAGCCTAATGCCAGATATTAGGAGTATCCTGATTCGTATGGAGTTATTTCTAGATACCAACAGGTAGATGTCGTGGCTCACAAGATGCCAAGAACCTGTAAGAAGAAAGCATTAAGAAATTCAGAATGATCGGCGTGAAGTCAGTATTTTCAGGCTTGATTCTTTTGTGTCTCTTGACGATGACTTACCACTTATTATGGGATGTGGGTTGCTGTGGTGATGGGAGAGGTCTAGTGGATTGTGCAAGGTGGAACTGCAGATTAAACTTCACAAAGTTTGGTTTGTTTCCTCTTGGGAGTTTTGTTTGCAACATCTGCTTGCCTGGTGCTATGATGCCATAGGTTTTCCCAAGGACAATAGAGACTCCTAGAGTCCTGGGGGCAGGGTTGCCTTTGTTCTCATTCCTCAAGGGGCAACACCTGCTAAAAGCAGGTGTTGGTTTTGCTAAAACTAGTTATAATTTCCTTAGGGCAAATAGTCAAGGAATATTCCCTGGGTTGAGCCCAAAGCCATTAATGGGACTGGCCTGGCATAGAAAGGGAGACTCGGAGCTTCTCCTGGAGCCGGGGGTAACTCGGGAGTGGTGATCACCGCAATGGTGAGTTCCAACCACAGACATTCCTCCCTTGTGTGGAGGCAAGGTGTCAGAGGAAGTGCCCTGATGTGAGGGATTTACTTTAACATCCTCCAGAGGGTAGGGTAAATAAAACAGGCTTGGCCAAAGATGAGGGTACATGGGATTCGTGATATTCTTCTTTTATGTATTTTGAAATTTTGTAATAAAAAGTTAGAAAAGAGGCTTTAAAGCTCCAATTTTTCACTAATATAGATGATACAGGAATTAACGTCACTTAATAAATAATTACTGAGAGTCGACAACTCACCAGGCTCTTTGGTGCTGAATTTTGGGTCAAACCACCCCCACCTCTGCCATCAAGAAGATGGGACAGATTCCTATCTGGTCACCTTATGTAAAGTCCACTGGTTGAAAAATCCTGCTAATGAACAAACATTCCAATTAGCTTTCTAGTTTTTTTAACTTATAAATATGTCATGACATGTAATATCTATATCTATATCTAATCTATATCTATATCTCTATCTATATCCATATATAATTAAATACACTATATCCTTTAACATATTAAACAATGTTTTATATGTTGTATAATACATTATTTATATTGTATATATTATATATACTTCTTATATGATATATAATTTAAATAAACATTTCATGAGAGGGAATGAGGGAGAGGAAGAGTAAATGACTGGGGTCATGATATAAGAGAATTAAAGAGAATTAAATTCTTATTTTTCATAATAGAAATATAATAGGTAGTATTTACAGCTGAAAACCCAATAAATAGCAGTATTAAAATGTTACTTAAAATATGGAGATACCAGAAAAGCGAGCCCCAAATATTGAATGTGGTGCCTCGGTGGGGCAGGACTGAGAGTTAACATTGTACGAGGAAGCAAAAGGGACTGCTGAAATTTTGTTATAAAATTTTTATAGTAAAATTTGGCTTTTAACTATGTATATGTACTATTTTTGTCAAAATAAAAATTCACTTATTTTTAAAATATCCCCTCCAACTGCTATATGGCCTACAGACTGTAAGGAGGGAAATGGAAGCAGAGAAGCCAATAGTATCATTTTGATTATGTCACTTTGCCAACAAAAACATATGACCTCTTACCTTCAGTTCTGCGACCGTACATTGTAGCTTTGTTACTCAGCCAAGAGATGAAAATCACAGCATTTATTTATCTGCTTTATGTTAACGGACTTGGTATTTTGCCACCTTGGTCAAATCCGGGATCCTGCCATTATTGAGTTTTCTTCTCTGTTACACTTCTTGCCCACTCAGCACAGATGCCTGCAGTGTGAACAGGGAGAAATTGAAATTCTAGTCCTGTCTCTCCTCGGTTAGGTCTGATTTTCAGAAATTGCAGTAAATCAGTAGCACTGAAAATTGGCCTATTTTTTTCTGGGGGTGTTGGTTCGTCTTGATGAGAAGGCAAAACAAATGGAGTTTATAAATGTAACTAATCAGGAAGTTAAAGAGAGGTTAAACCTGATGGATTAATCAAGTTCCTCGGGAAAGTGGAAAGAAAAGGTGGGAGGAAGGGACAAAGGAAAGCCATGGGGCAGGCTTGTGTCCAGACTGATTTAATAAGCCCTGCAGAATCAGCTCTTTGAGTGCCTTGCGGTTTTTTTCTCTCTCTCTCTGTCCATCCTTTCTCGTTAGAGAATGGAGAGCCAACCAGTGGTAGGCGTCTGGTGTCCTGAGTGGTGTGAACAGGGTACCATCTGCTGGAAGACCGCACTCTGATTTCTGATTCTGCCACTTGCTAGTGGTGTGACCTTAGAAGAGATATGCCGTCCCTCTTTGAGCAGATACTATGCTCATCTGTAAAATGGGGTGAGTTTTCTGATTTTCTGACATTACCAGGCTTGACCTTCTGGACAGAGGTCAACAGAGGTAATAGATTAGACTGTGAGCTCTAGAGCATGGAGAGGGGAGACCGACCAGTACCCACCAGGGCCTTGAGGAGGGAGGAGCGTGGCCTGGGCGTAGAGAGCAATAGAGTAAGTGGTACAAGAGGAAGCTGGTGGTCAGGGGCTGGAATGTGAAAATCAAAGCAGATGATAACTTTATCCTGAGAGCTGTGAGAAGACTCTGAATTATCTCACGGATGGCAAGGAAGTTTGAGATGATCAGGTTTGTGTTCTGAGATGATTCCTTCCACTCATATCTCTCATATCGTGGTGGTTCTCCAGTCTAGCTCTGGCCCAAGGCTTTTCCCTGCATTTCTTGCCTCTATATTCCATCATAAGATAATTCTCAAGGTCAGCACATCCCAAACTGAATTCTTTATCTTCCTCCCCAAGTCTGAGCTTCCTCCATCCCCCTCCACCTCCTTGTGTCTCTTTGTAAATGGAACCCGCGCAGGACGCTTCAAGGTCATTTAATCTGGATTTCTTACTTGCTGGTTTGGCTTGATAAAAAAAGGGAAATGCAAATGGAGTTTTCTATGGGCCCATTGCAATAATACATATGCTATTCCATATATAAAATGTAGAAGCACAATTCTCTGGGAGAGACCCAGAATTTTCAGCAGGCTTCTCATAGGTGCTCCCCAAAAGGTAAGAGTCTTTAGAAAGTCCAGTGTCCTCATTTTATAGATGGGCAAACAGGCCCACAGAGGTTAAGTGACCCATCTGAGGTCACAGAGAGATTGACTGATGGAGCTGGAACACAGCCTCCGGCTCCCTTCTCCAAACAAGGGTTGCCAACTGGCAGTCAGTGCAGATGCTTCAGAAGCCTCGTATTTCCCTCCTTGGGGACTGGATGTCTCTTTTCACTCTGACTATTCAAATTGGACCCCCACTGATGAGGACTGGGGTGTAATCAGCACCAGTGAATTCAAGGAGCCTTAACACTTATTAATTATATACATGTCTGTTTACAGGAGAATAATACTGTTAGCCCCATTAAGCACCATTATCAATGCATGATCTAATAATTTCAACATAATGAAACTAATATATTTCAGAGGAAGGGAAGGAGATATTCCACAACTGCTGCAAATTGGATTATTCTGGGTTAGGAAATCCTTGAGGCAGTGAATGTAACTGTTTTGATTTTCATCACATCTACTTGGTATAGTGCTTTACAGTCTATATATTATTTTCACATACCTTATTATTGTTTCATTCTTCCAGAAGTTTGGAGTAGGACAGAGAAAACAGAGTGTTCGAGTTAGGAATATTTTGGTTGCAAGCAACAGAAAAATCAAATCTACACTAGATTAAGGAAGAAAGAGATTGGGGATGGGAAGATTGTTGCTTTAAATAACTGAATTGTCATGGGACGTTCTCATTCAGGTTTGATCCATTGGTTCATGCTGTCAGTAAAGCTCTAGCTTCGTTTCTGGATGATTCTCTCTGTTGCCTTGTTGGCTTCATTCTCAGGTTGACTCACAGTAGCCTCCAATTCTCATAGCCTCACATCCTCCACAAGTGTCCCAAAAGTAGATACACGACGGCTTCTGGCAGAGGAGAGCAGAGGGGAGTGCCCTGGAGGGCAGGGCGCTTATCTGTCCTAGTAACCTCAGAAAACCTCTCCTCATTGGTGAGAGGCCTACCCCTCAGCCAATCACACTGGACAAAAGAAAGTATATTCTCATTGGTTTAAGCCAATCAGGGCCTACCCTACAGCTGGGGTGGGATCAATCCCACTGGAAACAGCAGAGCCGAAGGTGGTGGGCGTGGAGTTCCGCACAGGAAAATGTGAGCGCTCTTGGTGGGGAAGAGGGAAGTGATGTAGACAAACAGCTCAAAGTGTCCATTACACAGTGGTTTGGAGAGATTATGAGGCAAATCCAAAGTCATACAGTCTTTGTCTCTTGGGACCAAGATGCTAAATTCAGGGTTATTGTCTCAAATCTGACACTATTAAACGCCAGACTTCTCTAGAAACTTGAAGAGTTTTCCCACTGCCCTTCCTACTCATCTACCGGCTCTGTTCTGAGAAAAACACTGGAAAACTCGTCACCACCATCCTGAGCCAGGAACTTCCTGACCATGCCCATTCAAACCACAAAGCCCGAACTCCAGGAGACAGAGGAAGCGGTACTGTGCTTGGCATTCTCCTGAGTGCGCAGGAGCTGTCACAGCAAGTAGGATAGAAGCAAGTTCTGTTATTTTTTTCAAAGCTCCACAGCCTTCTAAGACAAACTAGCTTAGGTTTAAAGTCAGCCAGTCAATTCTTATGTCACAAATCAAATCACTCTATCACCTCACTGATCACACTGCCTTTTCTAGGATTCCAATTCGTTTCAACAATTGCCTGAACTTGTCAACAATACACCAGGCTACCTATGAGGTGGGTCATACTAGTACTTCTATTTTACAAATGAGGGCACTGTGACCCAGAGAGCTGGGGGTAGCTCCTCCAAAGTCACTGGGCTAGAAAAACCCAGTCTTACCCTCCTGTGTGTCTCCCTTTTTTACTCACACAGAACACTTCACTTTGAACACTTTGGTCACCAAACAGGCGTTCGTTTTCCCCAACACCAAGCGGTTTTCCATGACACGTTTTGTGTGTCCTACAGTTTAACTAAATTCTGACACTATTTACCTGGAATGGTATCAGGTCCTACGGGTTAAGTGCTCAGTCCCACAAGACTGTTCCCACCCCGTTACTTCAATCACAGATAGTAGGTCCGCAGGTTACCCATACCATTTGTCAGACTTAGCTACCAATGGGAGGTTCCTCGGGTTAGAATTAATTTGCTGGCATGCCTCACGTAAGTCAGGGAAACACGTAGGTCAATGTGATCTGGGAGGGTCCCGAGCACAGAAGCTTCTGTGCCCATGGAGTTGGGGTGTGTCACCACATTACATGAATATGATCACCAGCCTGGAAGTCCCAGAAACCCCACGGTATTTGGATTTTATCAGGAGGCTTCCTCATGTAGGCATGAACTATCATTAATGCCGTTTCCAAACCCTCTCCTGAAAGAAGACAGGGGATGTGAACTCAGCAGTCCAAGCAGGTTTATTGCTGAACCTGCGAGGGACCCCTCAGTCCTGGCCAGCAGAACAAAGGAAAAAGAGGGTCTCTAACAGGTCAAGAGGCTTTTTATGGCCAGGGTTTTTGGCAGGCTCTTTGAGGGGAGGGGTCAGGGGAAAGGTGGGCTTGTGGCTTGCTGACGTGTCCTCTGGAGGATGCTTGTAGCCTAGGGAAGATGACACCTAGGTCTCTCTGAGATGGTGGGTGGGCTTTTTCGAAAGGTGGTACTCAGGTCTGGATTCTATCATCTCCCATCTCTAGAGAAGTGGGGAACAGGGCTGGTTAATTTCAAGCTTCTAATCATGGCCCCGTCTTTCTGGCGACCAGCCCCTGTCCAGAAGCCCACCCCAAGGTGCCCCATTAGAACAAAAGATGCTCCTAGTACCCTTATTACTTTGGCAATTACAGAGGTTTAAGGAGCCCTTTAGGTGCCAGGAACCGGGGGCAGAGACATGTATTTTCTATTATCTCAAATACAAATAAATGTTTCAAAGTACAGAGTCCATGGATTTTCTATTATCTCACAGTTGCTCAGCTAGTAAGCGTTGAAGGTGGTATTCGAGTCCATGGGTGTGACTCCAACATGCCGTGTTCTTCACCAGGCGCCCTTACAAGGACCTATCTTGGTCTCATATGCAAGCACATGGAAGACACTATAGACTGCACAATTCTCTCCTGCTGGGATCTGACATTATAGCTCCCTTCCCTGGTGCCCATCATTCCTGTCCAGGAATAAAAGCCTTCATGGAAGCCTGGTCTAACAATACAGCTTTAATAGGACCCCCTCAGGACACAGACAGCAACAGGAAACATCTGCCTGGGAACCACCCCTGCTTCTGTTGATTGAAATGTGCAAGTGGAAAAGCTGTCCTATTGTCTGGGGAAATTCCGAGTTGACATGATTATAGTCTAATCAGCCACCTGCTGCAGAGCTGGAAATGGGAGAACCTGGGTGGCAAGAAGTGTATCCCAGGCCAGCTGGGACCCTTTGGGTCATATTAACAATCAGTGACTGATAAGCACTGTTCTGAAGAAGCTTGGGGGAGCCCTTGGGGTTGTTGCACCCCCTGTGTAACTGAATCCCCACCAGAAGGGAGCAAGAATGGCTTGGTCACCCCGCCTTGGGTCATGGTTTCTAAAGCAGCCAACCTACAGGGCACATTTCTGTATGCACACTTGTGGTTGGGTGTGGCTGTGGGTGTGCACTGAATCATCACAGAATGACTGCGCATTTCATGTAAGCTTGTAACCGTTTCTCACAAGATTCCCTGAGATCTTGACTTTCCCCCAGG